CCACCCACTGTCTGAAGGAGCTGGGTGAGCTCCGTGACCCCCGCGCCTCGCCACACTGCTGCATACCCCGAGATGTCCCCTGTGACTCCCACCCACCCACTGCAGAGACCCACCAGCGCGGGCATCGACCGGGGCAGGGCTCGGGCGCAGGAGAGGGGTGGGAGGCACCAGCAGCCGCCGAAGCTGCGGATTTTGTTCCTTTTTATTACACAAAATAGCATCAACACCATCAGTACAAATTAGAATGAAAAATTTCACAGAAAATGCCAAATAAATTAAAATCACTTTTGCATAAACTTAAATAAAAGAGTTAAACACTGTATTAAATAGTCTGCCAAATTCACAGTTGATAAGAAAACAGGGATGTGTCTCAGAAGTGCCCATGAGAGCAGGTCCTTGCAGAGGTGATGCTTGGAGGGAGCAGGGCATTGCTCATGCACTGCCTGCCTTGTCCTTCCGGTGATTCAAGATGTCCTGGACCCACTTATCGTCAGGTTTCCCACAGACCATCTTGCCTTTGAGTGTGGTAAATCTGCAAAAGGAAATGCTGTGAGGAGAAGGGAGAAGGGGAAGGAGAGGAGAGGAGAGGAGAGGAGAGGAGAGGAGAGGAGAGGAGAGGAGAGACGACCTGCTCCTTGCCACTGGTGAACCCCACCAAAACAAACACCTCTATAGCTCCAGAACAGCCCCAAGGAAATACAGGGTGGGCAGTTGGCGTAATATCATTACAGGTGTCCTGCTCTCTGCTGCTTAAGCCACTTCATCCCCAGCATGCCTGCTCAGCTGGGACACCATCCTGCCTGAGTCCTATCTGGGGATGAGGGGAATGACCCACAGAAGCTCTTTTGCCTCAAATCTACTATGGAGTTCCAGAAACTGGCTGCCTGGGATGTGGGATTGGCCTCTGAGATGTTTCCAGGCTGTTCTCCTAACACGGGAGAGCCCAGCCTGGTGTCTTCCCTTGCCAGGATGAGGTGTGATGTGGGGTTTCCTGGCGCTGCCACCCTTCAGTGGAGCATGCCCTCCCCCAGGATTTGGGCAAGAGATCTACTCACATCACAGCTGGCTGGAAGCAGTGGCTGCCTGTGTGCTCATACATCATCACGTGGCTCACGGGAAACGCTTTGGTCCTGTATCGGATACAGCAGGGACCAGAAAAGTTGACAGAAGCTGGAAGAGAAGTTAAGTTTTCTTATTAAACCAGACCTGGAAAAGCATCAGTGGCAAGAAGCAGGGTCAGAAGATGAGAAGATCCCCACTGGGGGAGGTGCTGCTCCCACCATGGGCTCCCACCACAGCAATCCTTCCCTCAGGAAGCCAAGGAGTAGCAAGACGTGCCTCTCCTTTCCTGCAGCAGATGCTTGGAAGGAAGAGTTGCCAAGCATTACTAGACATTATACAGCAGAAAGAAAGAGGAGAGAGCTCCTTGGAGAGGAGAGCTTGGATTCACCTGGAGAAGAGGAGACCTGGTAGCAGAGGACAGCCACGAAAAGCACAGCAAGGGCAGCTGTGGAGGTCTTCATGCTTCTTTTGGGTGGAGATAAATTGTAGGAGACAGGCTGGACTGCTGCGGAGTGCCCCTCGCTGTGCCTGACGCGGGATCCCTGGGTTCGGCCCGCTTTGTAGAGGGAGACGGTGAGTGAGGACGGAAGCACACCGGAAACATTGCTGAAAGACATGACACAATGGAAAAAGTGCTGTGTCAAGGGTGCCGCGCAGTCCTGTGGAGGGAAGTACCCAGAGCCCCGATGACAGTAGTGCCCTGGTGTGGCATGTTATATAATGGTATGACACCATGAAATGATAGAGAACAGGATATGACCTCTCTTTTCCTTTCCCCTGACCAAAGGGCTCCATAGAGAACCTAGAAGTAACAATTCAGAAGATCATTAGATAGACCTTTTACCTATAAGTCACACGATGGCAATAGATGGAGAATGACCCTGGCTGCCATGCACTTGTGTTTCCTAGAATATCTGCATCACAGACAAACTGGGGACCAGTCACTTGTCCCACAGCGACTGAAGCGGGGACAGTCTGTGAGTCAGGCAGCCCTCCCCAGCTGCCCACTCAGTGGGCCAGTGAGGCACACAGCATCCCTGCCCTGCCCCACTCCAGAGCTGCCCCAAGGAGATGGGGGCTCTCTCCATGGGACCCAGAAGGCCATGAGCATGTCAGCATGCAGAGCAGAGGGTAGAGCATGGTGCCACCCCAGATCTGAGCTCCTCTTCTATCCTTGACCATCACTTGCAGCAAGTCATTAGGAAACTGGTTCTGTTGCTACATTGCAGTAGCAATACCAGTGACAAGTATTATATACCAGTAAGGACTATGAAGATGATTAGGGGATTAGAACATCTCTCATATGAGGAAAGGCTTAGGGACTTGGGTCTCTATAGTCTAGAGAAAAGAAGATTGAGGGGGGATCTTATTAACGCTTACAAATACTTAAAGGGAGGGTGCCAGGGGGATGGGAGCAGTCTTTTTTCAGTGGTGCCCAGTGATAGGACAAGAGGTAAGGGGCACAAACTTGAACATAGGAAGTTCCATCTTAACATGAGGAGGAACTTCTTTACCTTGAGGGTAGTGGAGCACTGGCACAGGCTGCCCAGAGAGGTGGTGGAGTCTCTCACTCTGGAGACATTCAAAACCCGCCTGGACGCTGTCCTGTGCAACCTGTTGTAGGTGCCCCTGCTCTGGCGGGGGGTTGGACTAGATGATCTCCAGAGGTCCCTTCCAACCCTGACTATTCTGTGATTCTGTGATTCTTTGACCGCTAAAACAGCACTATGTCACCCACAAACAGGAGAATCAGCCTTAATGTTTACAAAGAGCTTTAGAAGCTCATGACCGTGTTGGCACAGCAGAGTTGGCTTAGATGATTATTTGGTTCCAACGCCCTCCTGACATTGCTTTGTCATTGTCCCAGGAGCCACAGACACACACAGAAGAGATTTGCTGGTTCAGCCCATATTGTTTGGGACAAGAATAGTGTCACTGCACTGGCAGTGACTTCAGCTCCTGTTGGAAACACTACATCCCCACAGAAAGGCCCTGCTGACTTCCAGGCAAAGGCTTATGGGCAAAGCCTCCAGAAAGAGGGGAAAGAGCAACGTACTCGTGGCGCTAATGAATGTGTCCGGGTGCTGGACAACCACAGCTGCAGTGCGAAAGGCCCATGGACAGGCTTCCTTTCATGATGGTCCAGTGAAGAAAGGGATCTGGGTCCTCTATGGGGGAGGATGATTACAAAATAGAAAGCACTGCCCAAAGTGGTGACCTTGTAGGAACCCATAGGAAGAACTAGAAGGGAAATGAGGAGATTCCTTGGTCGAGCTGAAGGAGAGCTGATTCCACGCCTGGGGCTCCCAGGTGCTCCAGGCCATGATGCACACCATCACCACGTCTCAATAGACTGAACTCTTTGAAAAACTGAGCCAGACTTGTTAGAAAAGTGTGGGCTAGGTGGCATTGCAGGATTTGTTTGACGCAGAGCCTTTTGCTTCACTAAAACACTCTGTTACTAAGCACAAGGAGAACTGAGCCAGGGTGAGACCACACGTGGGTGCCTTGCTGCCATGGAGGCAGGGAGCCCGCACCAGCCTGGAGAGCGGGCAGCCGGGGAGGGTGACCTGCAGAGCACTGGGACTCCAGGACACACGCTGCCAGTGGGGCTTTGGGAAAGATGCAGGGACAGGCATCTCCCATCGCACAACAATGTTGTCCCAAAACCCATGGGATCGTTTACCCAGTGTGCAAGCCGATAACATGCAGTCGAGGTATTAGCTATTTATTAGCAGGTCTGCGCAGACATAGGTGCTTGGGGGGCTTTTCTGCAGAGCTAGCACACACAACATTGGAACAGACATTCACTTATACATCGTAAATGACCATAATAATTAACATATTCATTGCTTATCAACTTGTTACCAGTGCTCATAATTCCTTCTCGTGAAGCTAATTGGTGTGAAATGTCCTCATCTTCATTTAAAGGTACAGTGTCTCTTAATTGTACTGTGCAAGCTCAGTGGGCAAGGGTCTTCAAGTGGAGGTGGGTATCCTAAATTCTAGAGGAGCGGTCTTCATATTATAATTAGTCAAGTTCACCTACATGGCACATTTCATGAGGTATAGCCAAGTTTCTTGGGCAACCAGCCCACTGAAGTTTCTGGTACCCAGTCTTAGGTTCGTTTGTTCCTTCTATCCCATTGTCCTGTCAAAAATCATTTACCCAAATGATTTATTGAGTTACAACCATAGAGGTTTCGACACCAGCAAGAAGTCAGCCCCCATTCAGCCCACAACCCACGGTTCCTTGGCTGCCATTGCAGCTCAGTCCCCAGCTTTGCCTTTGCAGCAGTGAACACCTTGGCACAGCCGTTGGCTTCCCTGCATCTTCTTCCAAAAAAACCGTTGATGGGCTTGCTGCCACCCCAGATCATACTGAGGGGTTAAACTCCCAGAGTGAGAGTGAATCAAGATGGCTGGAATGAAGGCTGAGGCTTTACCCGCCTGTGGCAGAGAAGGACACACGGTACCCTGCACTGAACAGCTGAGGTTCTCTGGGATCCTGCCTGCTCTATAATCCTCCTTGTCCCGTGCTCCAGACCCCATTCAGGTGCTAAGATGAAACCTTGTGCCTCCAGGGGCATGAGGTCCCACCACCAATGTCCTGGGCTGGATCCACTCGCCCCCACACTGCACTGAGTGGGGCTAGGAGGATGCCAGCCTGCTGCTGGTCCATCCCATGAGCGGTCAGGAGTTGCTCATCTTGCCCGAAGCGTCTAGCAGGGAGCTTGGGGAGAGCGGCTGTCCTGGGGAGCTCCCAGGAAGGGGCCAGGCAGGCTGCAGCATGCCCAGCAAGAGATGTTAGCGCTGGCAGCAGCAGGGCCAGCCTGCAAGGAAGGTGTGTGCCGAGCCATGATCCCAAATCCACAGTACCTCTGCACTCCCTCTGCCTCTCCATCCCAGCTCTTCCTGCGACGTGTGTCCATCTGTGCTCCCAGGACATCTGGGGCAGAGACGTAGCAGGTCCCCTCCGTCCCCATGCCCAGTTCAGCCATGCCGCACCTCCAGCCCAGCCACAAGCGACTCCCCTCACCCTGCACCCAGGCTACCCCCACCT